TTCCCCCCATAAAGCTCTTTCCCATGATCTTAAACACATGCAAACTAAATTTAACAAAATTTGGTCCATTAATTCTTTCTACGGGTGCTGAATCATCCTATACTTTTATATTGTAAGGATTTTGCTATTTCTATAATGTTTCATTATAAAGTAAAAGCTTTTCTAAAGCTTACTATAAAATGGGGTCAATAGAAACAAAACTTGAAAAAAATCTTGTATGCAGAAGTTGAATAAATTATAAAGGTAAATTTATGAAATAACCATAATCTTTCTATTTATAGCATATTTGATACCTGAGAAATACTTCAATTTACTTTAAATTTCAAAATACAATTTACAATTTCAAAATACTTTTTTCTATCTGTGTGTTCTGAATTAAATCAGTAATATAAATATAATTTTGAAATTTATTGTCAAATTTGGTTTTTTTATTTAAATCATTCATTGCAAATTTTTTCAACAATTTTCTTGAAATATTTGGATACAGGATGACTTTGTTTTATATTTCATGTATTTGAGAAGATTCAAATTAATGAACATTTCTCTTTGTAAAATATGTTCCTGGAGTTTGATCTAGACCACGGGTTCCCAACCTATTGGTCTCAACCCAGAAGGGGGTCACGACGGGTTTTCTGAGGGGTCGCCAACTTATGCAGTAAACTAAAACAAAATTTTCACTATAATGCAATATTTATTTTTAATGGTGTCTTAAAGTTTGAATAATTTCATATAGGAAAAGTAGAATTGAAATGTGAAAAAAAAATACATCTTTGGGAGAAAAAATAATTTTTAAACAGCACACATTTTTAGATCACTACCTTTAGATTTTTAGATCAGATCCTTGCTTAGTTCTTTTTTACAAATGAGTTTTAAAGAATACAAAATTGTAACTGTGTAAACATAGCAAACTGCCAAATTGCATTACCTCCAACCTATCTAGTGTTACCTTATTTAAATCTTTTTCTTTTAAAATTTCTATTTATAATTTCACTTTCATAGAACATGTTCAGCTTATAATAATCAAAATTAATAAATGTAAATTTTTGTCTCAAAAAGTCTAATAAAAAAAAAAGCTAGACAGATGATCTGTTTTGTAATTAAAAATTTCACAAGTATTTATTTTAATCATTATTCAGTATTTTGAGAGTGTTTTCTGGATAAAACAATAAATTGTTTAGTTGGTTGAAGATTATGAAAATTTATCTTTTAAAATCGTCAGTCATATATGCTATTTCTTCAGAATATAGTGTTTTGTTTTTAACTTATCAAAAAATGATGAAAAAAGAAATGAAACCAATCAATTGTTTGGTAAAATTGTTTATTTTATTTTTTTATTTTTACAAAAGCCTAATTGCTGTCAAAAAATGATAGGAGTAATGAAANATTAGATATGTAAATTATTTAATTTTATAAATGAATACAAAGTATATAACTGAATTAATATCTAGCTGCCCATCAGTAATATAAAATTGAAAATCACCTTTTAAAATTTAACTATTTTTAATTACATTTTAAGTGAATATTTTGTTAAATTAGATATTGTAGTAGTGCCTCTCAACTTTTAAAGAGCCTCTATATCCCTGTTTTTTGTAAAAGCATGTTGATCTATAATTTTCTTATGATGTATTATATTCTAATAAAAGTAAAAATTTCTTACAAGGAAGGGTTTACTCATGTCAGTCTTACATTTTAATAAAACATATATCATTCAATAGAATAGGAAAATAAGAAGACCCTTGGTTTTTCTTTTACTTGTCAGATTTTTCCCTATTTCTCAAAACAGCTGTGTTTTGAGAAATAGGGTTCTAAAATGTTCTAATGTAATTCATATAGAAATATAGCATCAGTAGCATTGTAGCCAGACTAGAAATATGTAGGGATTGATTTTGCTTGAGGTTTTTATTTTTTAATGGGCTGCAATTTGAAAAAATTGTAGACCTATAAATTCCTGCTGTTGTTAGTCTGTCTTTAGTCTCGAATGGAGTTAAATAGATGAAGACAAGACCAGATATGGAAACCTTGAACAGGAGGCCCAAATTAACTATGTACAAACTTCCAATGCAAACTGGAAGTCATGTTATTTCAATTCAAAAATTTTCTCCTGGAAGGTGTTAGATGACTGGCACAACTCTATTGTTAAAGGAAAAATATGATGTACACGGGCAAGCCACTACTATTGATAACTTGAGGTGGAGAGCATATATTTTAAGTTAAATAAATTAAAAATATGATTAAAAATTGCAATCCAACATTATGATGATATCACAATAAATAATTGCTCATTGTTTAATGTAAATGTAAAGGAAAAATAGTTTTTAAGACTAATTGTTTACAATGAGCATATATAACTAATTGAAATTAAAGTATTTCTATCAAAATCTTTTAATGAATACTTTGTTTTGGAAAATGTAAAATTAATGTTGATAACATTAGAAAACTTGTAATGTTTTCTGTCATACATCCTGACTTCTGCCATGCATATATTAGCGTGTTTAAAAATAGGAGCATGTAGTTGGATATATGTATATGCCTAGTCCAGTCACAATGCCAGAACTATACCATCAGTGCTATATTTCTATAAGAATTACATTAGAACATTATTTCTTGTGAATGGCTGACCTGACATAAAAGAAAAACATGAATCTTTTTTCCCTTCTCTATAAAATGATATATATTTCATTAAAATATAAAACTGATGTGAGAGAACTCTTTTGTTAGTACACAACTACATTTCAAACAAAACAAAAAAGTAAAATAGCATATGCGGATACTTACCACTAAATGAAATCAAATTTTGAAAATGACTATATTGTAGAGATAATCATAACTAATTATTCAATAATGTTAATGAAATAAACAAACACATTGCAGGTATTTTTAATGTAATGAAATGAATGGAGAGTATGTAATGGAGAAGTTGTATTAAAAAAATAATTTCTTCTGAACTTCTAGAAAGTCTTTTACTCCACTAGGAAGGTGTTTGAGAACTACTATATTATAGTAATTAATATTATAAATTTAACAGAACTTTGCTTTTGGATTTTAACATGAATAAGAAGCTTATTACTAGCTTAATGTATTTATTACTAAAATTTTAATATATCAACTTATATATTAAGAAATTAATTTCAGATATGTATAATAAAATAGAGATATTTAAATTTATTATAACTAATTGAATAAATCTTTTCAAGTACAGTAGTTGATCAGTTAACAAACAGTTCGGACTGTGAACAAATCGGACAACAAACACTTTTGTGAAAGATTTTTATGTTCAGACAACAAACACATGTTTGGATAATGAACACCTGACAGAACAAACACAAGAAGAAGCAATACTGCATTTAAGATTGTAAAGCTATTTTAGTGGCATCTATACATGGTTTATGGAATGAGACTTTCACAGTTGTATACATAATTTTTTTTTTTGCACTAGTTACAAAAATTTAGAGAAATTAAGTGCTTTTCTAAACTTTTTATTTAAAAAACTGATAATATTATGGGGCCTAAAAAGAGTGGAGTGTCAAGAACTGTGTTCACTATAGAAACTAAGCAAGAGATAATAGCTAAGGTAGAGTGGGCAGAAGATGTCTGATACTGTAGGTAGATGACTTTAGCAGGTCTACAGTAGATACAACCTTAGCTAAGAAAGATATAATCAAAAAGACACTAGCAGATAAAGAAGTAACAAAAATCGCATCTGAGAAACAGATGTGCCATCCACGAAAAAATGGATAGATAGCTTTTAGTTTGTTATTACATGTAAATAAACATAGTAAGAAAGTATATAAATTTTTATTTTTGGAATCTCCAGAATAAATTAATCAAATTCCCACAAAAATCTATGGTAAATCAATAATCCGTTAATGAACAATTTGGACAGTGAACATGGTCTTGGAATGGATTATGTTCGTTAACCAATCACCCATGTATAAGCCAGGGGTGGCCAACAGTTTTTGTCTCCGGGCTGAATTGTCTCCAAACCAGGCTGCCCTAGGAAGATTTTCAGGTGGTGTGAGATCTCATTGTGGTGTCTGTGAGACTGAATTGTAGATAGAGATTACAGATACACTTTTCACATTATCATGTTTTATCAACACTCTACTCTGTACTTACGAGATTTGTAATGGAAGTGGAAGGTTACCTCTAAATGCACAGTTGACTTTTTTTTTTTTGTTTAGGAGTCAAAATTTTTCATTGAGCTATTCGGACTTCAATATCTTAAGTTGAAAGACTGATCGCAGGTCACATAAATTCATTAGACGGGCCGGATCTTGCCCGTGGGCCTTATGTTGGCCATGTCTGGTATAAACAATGCTTTGTTTTAAAAATTAAATATAGAAAATTTTAGTAATCAAATTTACATTATCTTTGAATTTTAGTATAATTAATGTTCTTTGATCTGAAGGTTGTTTAATCAATTTCACACAATTTATACTTATACCAAGCAATTTCCAACCAAACAATAGGATTTCTATCCTCAAATATGAAGTTCAATTGCTGCTTTTTTTGAATCTAAGAATGTTTTGCAAGTTTAGATCAAACAAATGATCAATTCATATATGGTATTTTATTTGTTGTAAAATAGATGATTAAATAAATTTCTGAAAACATATAACTCCAACAGGCACACCGGGTGATATAATAAAATAAAATTCAACTTACATAAGCCTGTAACCGATGTGAAACAGCAAAAATTCTAACTCACAAACATTTTCTGAACACCTTCCGTGTTCTTCATCAGGTATTCAAACTGGATTTTTTTCCATATTCTGGAACACTGTTATAAAATTTAAAATAAATTTAAAATAAAACGATCGATGATAGTTCGAATGCGCGACGTCCATTGCGCACGCGTTGTACACATCGTGTTCCCCGTTGTTCGGTTTCCCATTAAATCTTCTAATCCTCATTTAATTTTTTTCTCGTTCTTCATCCGATGCAATATTCTAACATTTGACGTCACGTGTCCCCCGCATCATCAGATATTAGATCTATCTTTATGAGTCACTATGTAGAACGGCTTGCCAAGCGATCGAAAGAGCCATCTCCTTCCATGAATTAATGCACTCAGATGTAGTATGCGCCTTATATATCTCCACCATCTCTAACCATTTGAGGTGGTCTCTCTGTGTTGTTCTAACTATTAACTTTGCCCCTGCGAAGTCAACCATAATATCAGGGTCAGAAGCATAAACCGAGAGTGATGTGGTGGCTCTGTTATGTCGTATGTCTGCTTTGTGTTCGCTTATTCTCACGCCCATCGAGCGTTTCGTAGATCCTATATAGACTAAATCCCTACCGAATCTATCATTACGAACAGGGGTCCGATATATTCCCTGTGATTTGATCGGGTCAGGCGGGTCCTTTCCATTGCGTAGTATGTCAAAGATAGTTGGGCCCCTCTTGTAAGCAATGTTGACATTACGTCTTTTGGCAACCGCTGTATATACCGATTTCAAGATATGGTTGAATGTAAGCAATATTCTTTTCATATCAATGCTGTGGTTGTCTCCCAATGTCGTCATAGGAGTGTTGTGCGACATCAGTGCCCTTTCATGGCATTCTGCGATTCTTGGTACAAGATTGTGGTAGCCATGCATGTCAGCGATCTTCTCAATGTGTGTTAACTCTTCTCTAAGTGCTTCTTGTGTAGATGAATGAGAACATGCTCTTCTAACTAAAGATCGAAAAGCGGCCAATTTGTATTGAAACGGGTCACGTGAGTCACTCGGTATGTATGTGGGGCTTGCACACGGCTTCTGATAGACAATAGTGTGAATGTTGGGTCCTTGAATTCTGATATTTACATCTAAGAAGTGGACATTAGTGTTGCTATGTTGATCCACCTCGAGTGACAGCCTGTATGGATTATCATTCATCGCTTCAACGAATTGTGCCAAGTTTGGTGTTGTTTTCCATACCACAATAACGTCATCTACGGAAGGTGTTTGGAAAATGTTTGTGAGTTAGAATTTTTGCCGTTTCACATCGGTTACAGGCTTATGTAAGTCAAATTTTATTTTATTTCTGAAAACATTATTTATATGAATATTCAATTAACTTATAAATATGCATATACATATTCAAATATTGCAATTTACTGAAAGAAAAATTTTCAATAATTATTTTTTCTAATACAGTAAATTTATTTTCATTTAAATAAGCTATTTTTATTTTTTCCATAGACTTTTAAAAAAGAATTGGAAAATTGAAATATATTTAGAAAATAATATATTAAAATAAATTAAACCATTCACACTTTTTTCAGCAGCAACACTTTAATATATTTAACTTCCTTATTAATTTTCTTAATAAGGAAATCATATTTACAAGAATTATGGATTTTTGTAAACTTTTCTGTAGATTTTTCCATAGATTAAATGGATGCTTATTGCAAATACCTTACAAAATATCAAAATCTATTTATTAAATTTTAAAAAATTTCTTGTACAAACTTATTTTACAGTTTATTACATGACGATATAGATGTACTTGTTTATAAAGTTGTGTATATTCCTATAATTAATAATCAGTTAAACATGAAATAAAATTTTAATATATAGAAAAAGCTTTTGTTCTAAAAGTCAATCTTTGTAGAATTTTTGGTTAAATTCTATAGTTAATATTTTTGGAAGCAGTTTCTGTTGACAAAGATTATTATTATGTTTGACACACACAGCTCACTGATAGAAGGGTTTCTAGAGATAAACAAATGAAAAATTCATACTTCTGCTAATTAAGAAAATTGAAATGTTTTTATTTTGAGAAATGTTAACTGTTTGACTCAACTTCAGCTCTGGTACATTAAGGAATAGTAATTTTAAATGAATAAGCATATAAACAAACACCTTATAAAACTGGATGAAGTACAAATTTACAGACCAACACCAAAAATCCAGCAAAACATACACTTTAATAGACAAACTAATATTTTCAACTGTCTTAAACAGTCATCATCAGGTGTAATATAATAAATTCAAACAGTGATACTACTGTTTGAATTTATTAGATTATACCTAATGATGAGATTACCTAATTAGAACAAATTTTGTAAACAAAATGAATGTTTAACTTTATCTTGCATAATAAAGTATTTGAGATATAAATGTTTCCTAGCAACAGAGCTTTTTTTCATTTCCTCTGGTAATAAATAGTATTATCAGAGATTACTATTCCATCCTCCATAAAGAATGCCTTTACAGTTGAAAGGTCTTTTTTAACTATTCTACCAATTTGTATCCATAGAATCCATCATAGTTTTTTTTGATATAATGTTGCTGAAACTTTCTTTGAAATCTACAAAGAACTTGTGCAATATTAATCTTTAGAGTTCTGAGAAAAGTAATATTCACAATAGTATGTAGACAAACCTCTGTTATTGCTTGGAATAAGCAGTACTTAGCAGTATAAATATTTCTATACTTTTTGTGAATTAGTGTTCAGACATATTTTTTCTGAACATATTTCTTTCTCAAGGAACAATTGGGTGAAAGTAATATTCTGTATGTGCACATGGGGAAATTCATGTATCAATCTCATATTGATTCAAGAAAATGGGATTATTAAATTTGAATATTTTAGATAAAACAAAAATCATACATTAAAACTAAAGCTTTCTGCAGCCTCTGCATAAGTATGACTTTTTCATTTATTTAACAGTGCCATGTTTCTTAGAATATTATAATTTAGATATAGTTTACTAAAGTGCATAGCCTCATTCAAATGAATGGCAGTTTTCTTGAGAAATGAATAGTGTGAAAATGTAAACTGGAACCTACAATTCATCTAGACAATGTGTGCAAGAATTTTAATCTCATTGCACTTGTGATCAGAACATTTTATTCTCATAAAAGTCAATCAGTACTTGTAATTTAAATTCTCATGTATTGAGTTCTCAGAAATTGGGGTCACATTGTGACATAACTTATCTTTCAGCATTTAAACAGCAATTTATATCCATTATTTCAGCATATTTATTGAAATAAAATTCATTAAAATCTGTTATTACATTTATCTAGTTATATTAATAATAGCACATTTATGATATCTAACTTCAAACTAAGTTTGAAATATGCTTTGAATTTTGAATAATTTCAATTTTTAGTTACTATTTAAATTAGTTAATTTTTGTTTTTTATTCAGAATTAAGTATTTTTATTTTCATTTTTATATTTAATTTTTAACAAAAATAATGTTAATAAAAAATGAGGTTATTAAATTTTAATATTTTAGATAAAAATGAAAATCATACATTAAAACAAAAGAAGCGTTCTGCAGTTTCATCATCACATTCTATATCTTCTCTTCCGAAAAGTGAAAGTTCTACTATATCAATTATTTCTCATAACTCACATATTTCTAGGCCTTCATCTGGGAATATATCACAAAATTTTCAAACTTTTCAGAACATTTCAGGTATTTAAAAATAAGTGTATATAAATATTGCATTATAAAACATTTAATTTTTTTTCCTTTCCTTTTAAGGTAATAAATCTAATTTGTCCAAGCAAAATAAACAATTGGTGGAGAAGAAGCCCAATAAAATGTCATCCCAAACAATGAAAAGNCTGGTATGTTGGCTAAAGCAAATTTGTTTATCGAATCTTCCTGTTTTGAGGGTGATACTGAAACAAAAAGCGATGGAAATCGCTGAGATACTTGGAGTAGAAATGAACTTTAGTGCCAGTGATGGATAGTCAGAGACTGTATAAAGCACTACTGTATTTTCCTAATTGAAGTTTTGTGTTAACGTTAGTTTCAAAGTTAGTTTAGTTGTGTTAATATTATTATAAAAGTCATTAATAAATACAACCAATAAATTTTTAAAATTCTTAATAAGAAAATACTAGTTCTAAAAATTAAAATAGAATCTGCTTATTGTAATCACTTGGTGCTCACTGATACTGATAACATTAAGCAGTGTAAGTAAAGAAGAGTGCAATTAGTGGAAAATCTGGTTTAATTGACTATTTAAATGATATGTTAAAACAATTAGAAGTGTGTAACTGGAATATTTATTATTATTAACACGTACAGTAATTATTAGTATGGTCAGATTGCTAATGTCTTTAACAACAGCTAGCATATAATTGAAGTAACAAATGTCTGCAATTTAATCTTTTTTAAGAACAAATGTTTATATGATTAACATTTAACATATAAAGCATTAGTTAAGATATAATGATTACATGCTATCAGCAATATTTTGAGGCTGACAGCACAAGAGGTATTTACCTGATTAACAACAATAACTGAAACTTTTATAAAACTTTACTACTACTTATAATCAATATATTTAAGTTGCTGCATGTTATGTAGACATGCTAATTCTGTTAACATTAAGCAATCCAATAACAATATATATGATTACATTAAGCAGAGTCTATTGTAATTACATTAAATGTAAATATTGATCTCATTTTCATAATAATGTGTATTATAAAGTTATGAAGTAATGAAACAGAAGTAAAGTATTTTAATATTAAAATGAAGAATAATTGATTTAATCAACAATAAATTTATGAATTTTGTTATGCTTAAAATAAAAATAGTAACAATATTTCAAATGTATTGTAACATATTTATATAAAACTGTGTTCTTATTAAGAAAATCATTATTATTCCTGTCATTCATCTTTTTACTTCAACCATTAAAATATTATTAATATTTTGATGTATTATGAGCAGATCTAATAATTTTGCTCTTAAATTACAAAAGAGATTCAAGAAATAAAGTGGATAAGATTGTATTTTTGATTGGAAACTAATCTGTTAGTAAATTTAATTATTTTTTTTATGGCTTAGCAAGACCTTATTTATACAGTATTTTATATATAGATATTCAATTTACAAATGTTTTAAATATAATTATTTATTATAAATGTTTTTACTTGGTATAGAATAAGCATCTTTAGATATTGCAGTACAACTATATGTAAAGACTTTTAAAATTGTATTATCTATTTACTTTATGCCACAGCACTGCTATTTATAAGGAGATGGCCAGACATTGTTTTCTCCAATTTGAACAAAACTTGATGAGCACATAGCCCTAAACACAAATAGCTCCTTGTCCAAATAATAGGGCCCACTTCTCAAGTGTTTCCAAAAAAAATGGGCCTCTGAAAATTGAGCGTTTAGCTTATAAGTTCTACATATCATAAGAATGGCAGTAGCTGAGTGGATAAGGTTCTAGATGCTGAACCTATATAAGATGGGTTTGAGAGTTAAATCTACAGAAACTTCATTTTTGCTAAACAGGAAATGACATCACAATTTTTAATTTTATTTTATAAGCTCTAAATGTGAGGAATAAGAATAGCAGTAATAATGATATGCTGAAATAATAAAATAATTATGTTACATTCAGTTTTTATTTCAAAAAAAAAATTGCCTAGAATTGAGCCCATATCAAGTAGTTCCAGCATCTACAACCTTATCCACTTGACTACTGCCATTCTTATAATAAATAGAGCTTCCGGACTTATAAGCTAAACACTCAATTTTCAGAGGCCTGCTTTTCAAAAATGCTTGAAGTGGGTCCTATTATTTGGACAAAGAACTATTTATGTTTAGGACTATATGCTTGCCAAGTTTAGTTTGAATCTGAGAGGACATCATCTGGCCGTTTCCTTGTTAAACCTGTAAAATGCAGTCAATTTTAATTCTCGAATGTTTTTAGTTGTTTAATTGCTACTTGTTTTTCTGGTAGATCCTTTAGTGATGAGCATAAATTTTTCTGAGCAGATCATACAAGAAAATGCATTTTATGTTCTTTTATCCTTGCTGATTGTGATCTTTCGTCCTCACTGTTAGTAAAGAAACAAAGACAGCATTTGGAAGATCTGTCTTATTACTGCTTTATCAGCATATGTCATTT